ATACATATACACATACACACACCAGGTAAAATTATACTGTGTGCACAAGTGAAATTTAGAGATTAAAAAAAAATACCTTCAGGCAATTTCTTTACCCAGTGTTTAAGCCCCAGAAGGAAGGGGCGGAGCTTGCAGTTTCCCGCCTTGTCCGGTTTTTCCGTTTTCAACAAGGTCCGCATATTTGCTACATAAGAAGCGGTAGGCGCTCAGCTTTCACCTCACTCGGCTGTGCTGTCTGACTTATCAGCATGTCTGGTCGCGGCAAAGGCGGGAAGGGGCTGGGCAAGGGCGGTGCCAAGCGCCACCGCAAGGTGCTGCGCGACAACATCCAGGGCATCACCAAGCCCGCCATCCGCCGCCTGGCCCGGCGCGGCGGCGTCAAGCGCATCTCGGGGCTCATCTACGAGGAGACCCGCGGGGTGCTCAAGGTCTTCCTGGAGAACGTGATCCGCGACGCCGTCACCTACACCGAGCACGCCAAGCGCAAGACGGTCACGGCCATGGACGTGGTCTACGCGCTCAAGCGCCAGGGCCGCACCCTCTACGGCTTCGGCGGCTAGGTTAGGGTTTCTGTTTGTAAGGTGGAAGTAATAAAGGCCCTTTTTAGGGCCACCCATATTTTCAATTGAAGAGCTCGCACCTTTGCATGTGGGTTGGTGTTACTTATTGGAATATATTTTTTATTTTATCAATGGGATTTTAGTGCTGTGGGTAATGTAGTGGCAGGAAGCCCTCTCAGGTTTTCTACTGTCCCCGCTGACTGGGTAGATAAAGGAGAGTCTGGAGCTCTCTGCCTTTTTGGGGCCTTCATTGTGTTTTATGCGTAGTCCAGTAAACAGGCGCACGTTTGGCAGGGTTGGGGCCTGGGAGGCCAGAAGGCCTCCCGGCCCACGCAAGTCTTCACTTTGGGCTTCTCTCTTCTGGCTTTCTCACCTCCCTTCTGCTTCTCTTCTGCCTTCTCTCTTGGTGTCTATTTCAATACACTTACATAGCCCAAAGAAGTAAACTGCGCAATCCCTCTTTCCTGGGGACCACCCTGTTACATAAGGACAGCAGGTACCCCATCAGGCAGGGCAATCCTAATGGTGGGAAGGTAGAAAAGCCATTTACCCTACAGAGTGTTAACAACTTTCATAATTTACCATTTGGCACCAGTACCAATAGGTAATTTGATAAAACTTGAGTCACAAATTTGGGGAATCTTGGGTTTGGGGAGATTGCCTGGAGGCACCAAAGACAAACTTTTTTGGTGGGTATGCAAATGCAGATTTTCTGGTACTTGAGATTTATAGTATGATTACCTATTCGTGAAGGTGTTTTCATTCTGCTTACTCAAATTTCTTAGGTAACCATAGAATAGTTTGCATGAGCCTAAGTATATCACCTTAGTGGATCTATTGCACAAGGTTTTGATCTATGGTAAATGTGGAACACTGCATAAAATAATTGTTTCTCAAAAATGTAAAAATTGGTGTGTTCAAGATTAAAAGGGACTAGAGTAGTAACCAGCTGCATCTTGCTTTATGGATTAAATCAGAGGGCACATGGCAGACAACTGAGGACATGAGGGTGGACTGGATGTTATATCATTTTATGAAGGTGTTTTTTAGGCTGAGTAAGTTTATATATTTAAGGCTGGATAAGTACATATTTATATATTTAGGTATGGCGCCTCATGGTGTCTGCAATTTAAAATGCTTCAGGAAAAAACATTTCTCTGTGTGTATTCCTACAAATTTTACTATAAATATATTCAGATAAAAAGATAAACTGGGAAATCATTATTTACTCTCATACCCACCCTCTGCAGGTGGTTTTCAGTGGCTTAACCAGAAGGTAGAGGTGCAGGTAAACACATTGGTGAGATTCCTACAGGCAGGTAAGCCTCCCTGGGCCTAGGGCCGGTTGGAGAGGTGGATACACATGGAGGACTAAGTGGTGCAGCTGTGTTACAAAATAATGGTGTCTTCATGTTTCATAAAGTGAATTTAGAGAGTTACTTGTATCTATTACATACTTTTGAAATATTTAAAGTCCTTTGCCTTATTGTAACAGGGTGGTCCCCAGGAAAGGGGGAGGTTTCAGGTTTCCTGCCCCACCCAAGGGAGGGTGGAGCTGAGCAGGGAGAGAACAAGCTGCAGAGGAGACTGAAGAAGGAAGGAAGCAGGATGGAGACAGAAGGAGACCTGGAGGAGGCACATGGAGCAGAGAGACGCGTGAAGAAACTGAGCTTGTCTTTTGGCTTTGGTCTGGAGTGGGGGTGGAGTCCACAATGCCTGTATGGAATTAGCTTTAGGAGACATCCTTTTCCCTCTTACAATTCCCTGCTAAGCTCCACCCTCCCTTGGGTGGGGCAGGAAACCTGGAACCTCCCCCTTCCTGGGGACCACCCTGTTACATTATGACTGCAAGTAGAATTCATGGATGGTGTTAAAGTTTAAACCATACAGGATTTATAAACTTATGACTAATAAACTCCATGTACCCAATTTCATACAGTTAAATATTAATTCTCTAAATAGAGTTGGAGGTAACTGGAAGGAAGTGGGCCCTGGTATTATACACCCCCCACTCCCCAGCAGCCAACAAAAGAAGTGGCTGTTTGAGACTCTCACCCTTGCTCAGATACATAATCTCACAGAAGAGAACCAGAAAGGAGTTAGTCTGGATTCAAAGAAGTTTATTGCTATTGTGAAAGTGGATTCCAAACAAGAAGTTCTTTCATTAAAATTTATTTTTCATTGGAATGTCTTGTCAACACAGGCATGACATGATAGCCTTTGGAGAAAGGAAATAATATATAGGTTTTCTTTTCTATATTATTTTAATAGGAGAGTAAAAGTAGGCATTTGTGAGGCACAGGTGTGCATGTATTTAACAACCCTCAAAGCAACCTGATGACATAGGCATCATTATTATGAGCTCAGTTTCAGAAATGAAGACACAGAGGTCCTGGGGATGGAAGTGATGTGTCCACATCTGTACAAGTGGAACTGGGATTTGAAACCAGAGGGTCAAGCTCTAGGGAGCATGAAGTGCTTTATATCTGTAAAATATCCAATTCACAGTAAAAACTGCTTTCCAGACATGCTTCTTGGAGCTGTGGTGGGAAATTATTTCGATGCCCTGGTAGCCTCTGTAGGGGAGTCAAATTTAATCTCTACTCTCTTAGCATTCTTGGTTGGGCCTGATAATTCAGTGGACAAAAACCAGAGTGAACAGTAGAGCAACACACTGATGTATTTAGTATAAATATTATGTGACATAAGCACTCTCATAAGAAAAAGATCTCAGAGAAGCATAGGTTGAATGTGTGTGCTTGGTCTTCCCACAAATTGTCAGATAGGCTTTTCCCAAGATGCCCAGACTAGGCTTTTTCTAATACCTGTCACTTTGGATATGGAGCTAAGGTCAACAGAGGCCTTGTTAAATCTCAGGAGGAGTTATCACTATTTTGTTACTAACTGTGTTAGAGAATGCAAGTTAACGAGATTTAGGGTCATCTCCAGCAATAATCTTTTATCAGAGAAATCTATCCTAAAGCAGAAGAAACATCTAGAGGCAAGTTTTGTTCTATGAAGTCATCCTCAATCTCACCTTGTCATGAGAAGCTCCCTCCTCTGTCTTTGACACCTAGGGCCCTTAGCACAGGATGTCAACCTCTGGTTTGCCCCAGTGACTTTAGAATTTAAATTCTCTGTACCAGTGTTATTTGGTCTTTTTATTCTACCGACAGCTCTGGTGTTAATTTGTTGGTCCAGCTTCTGAAGAACCCACAGGGATGAGGGAATGTTCCCCTGATCCTGTCCAAATGTTGTGTACTGAATTGGACAAAGTAATAAATTATGAAAATGTAAGGAGGCAATGGGGCGTGCCTAGGGTAGTTGATGGAAATGTATTGAGGATAAGAGTTAAACAAGGGTTGTTGACATAGATTTCTGTTTCAAAATCCCGGCCTCTGGTTATAAGAATATTATTGTCCTGGTTTGTCAAGGACTTGCTCATATGGAGGTGTTACCACCTGTTTTTAGGAAGAAAAGGGAGGTCAGAGTGCCTTATACCAGTATTTTTTATAAAGTGCCTTTAGCTCAAAATAATCCTGACAAAGCAGCACATTTTGGAGTGATAATATACTTCTTTCACCATTCAGTTGACATCCAGTTCTTTTCTGGGTAGCTGGGTAATGTCACAACATACTACTACTTCAGTGCCATCGAGTAGTAAAAGTGCAAGTGTTCACCTGAAAGAACTGCAGAGGGATAGGACCCACAAAAAAGCAAAAAGTTTATCAGAAAGAGTAGGATCAGGCCAGGAAATCACAAAACCGTGTGAGGAGAATGAACACTAGCAATGAACAGGATCAGGTGTAGCAGAGATTAAGTTCTTAGTGTCACCTTTGGACTTGGCCAAAATGACAAGGGACATTTTTACTGACTGGTGTATAAGTGGTATAATCACGGAAAGTGACTTGAGATAGAATGGCTCCAGATCACACAAGTCTGATTAAGGAGAGGATATAGCAATTGAGGCATGGATAGCTGGGACACGCATGTGGAAAGAGCCAGCAGGGATGTAAAATCTAAAACTGAGATAGCTACTTTAGCAGTTAACTAGGATGACCAAATTGATGTAAAGGTGACTGCAATTAACTACTGTAAAAGAGGCAGTGAAACACTTCCTGGCAAGCCAGTGTGTATTTCCAGTATTGGTTTTACATACATAATGCAAATTTAGGGTAGGATTAGAACCTTCTTCTGCCTTTGTACTAAGGTGCCTTAGCTGCCTAGCTTTAGAGACAATGGTACTCAAGTGCCCCCTGCAGGCTGCAAAGAAAGCATTGAGAGAAAATTTACAAGCTTGATAAATTCCTATGAGTTGAAACCTGAACTTTCCATCCTTTTGCTAAATCTAAAATACAAGTAACCGTCAGTTTAGGAGCTCCAGATACATTACTCTTGCAATATACCTATAAAAAGCAAACACCCATGTCAGTTAACAACTCTTTGTGTGACCAAGTGGGTGGCCCTGAGAAGGGCCTTTAGGTTTGCTAGAGTTGATAAAACTCCCAGTTTAGCCGCCGAAGCCGTAGAGGGTGCGGCCCTGGCGCTTGAGCGCATAGACCACGTCCATGGCCGTGACCGTCTTGCGCTTGGCGTGCTCGGTGTAGGTGACGGCGTCGCGGATCACGTTCTCCAGGAAGACCTTGAGCACCCCGCGGGTCTCCTCGTAGATGAGCCCCGAGATGCGCTTGACGCCGCCGCGCCGGGCCAGGCGGCGGATGGCGGGCTTGGTGATGCCCTGGATGTTGTCGCGCAGCACCTTGCGGTGGCGCTTGGCGCCGCCCTTGCCGAGCCCCTTCCCGCCTTTGCCGCGACCAGACATGACTACAATGAAATGAGAGCCAAGTTCAACGACTGTTGCACCTCTGCAACCTCTATATATATCAGACTTGCGGACCTTTTAGGAGACTGAATTGGCGGGGGCGGGAACGAGGCCACTGACCCCGCCTCCTGTGGACATGCCCGGGCGTCTGCTGTTGCCTAGCAGGCGAAGGGCGGGGAAAGGCGACTCCATCTGGATCTTTGGTGTTGTAGGACAACAGTGGCCTCTAGTGCTGTGCCCCTTGCCTCTCCCAAACGACGTATACTGTGGAAGTCTCCTAAATGTTATTACTTATGAAAAGAAAGGCAACTACATTACCCTGTCTACACAAGAGCGCGGTCCTAGAATAATATTGATTTTTAGATGTGAAGATTCTTTTAAAGTATATGTACTAATTTTTACAACTCCAACAGTACCAGCAATACTTACCAATTTCCTAGTAAAGGAAAGTAGGAAGGTTAGTCAATATTAATTACTTTCCAACTCTGATTCCAGAATTATAAAGCACTGTGCATTTTAAAAATGAAACTAAGGTTTGGAGACCTTTTCCTGTTTTATAACAGAAATTGTTGGGTTAGAAGTGAGAACCTCTGATTCTGGACTCTAAGATCTTGTCACCCCACCCCCTGTAAATATCGAAGTTATATAACGGTGACTAATAACACAAGTAACAGAATTAATGCTGATAAGTTCTGAAATTAGTGACCAATGTGCTCTACACACGTGATTGATATGTTTAGCAGACAACTGCCGTTGACTCACTCCTATTCCTCTTTCATTTTGAGTACCTGTGGTACCTACAGAGATGGTTTTTAAAAATCTCTGTGCTGGTACTTAACATCTATTGAGTCCGATGGTATTTACGATCAGCTCAGGTCCGGTTACTTGCAAACTTTGACACAGTCTTTTTCCATATTCTCCTTTTCTGAAAAAGGCATCAAGTAAAAATGATTCATTCACTCAACCATTTAGTGTCCACTATATGCCCAGAATGGTGTACAAATACCAGGTTTAGAAAGACGTTCTTTTGAAGAACTGGAATTTAGTAGATGGAAGAGAAAATGAGAGTGAGACATCAGCCCCAACATATTCTTAGTTTTGTCCTCATTTTGATGAGTGGAGCAGCTATATCCCACCAAGCAATACTAGTATCTCCCTGAGATCTCTTTAGAGATATTCAGGCCCTACCCCAAATACACTAAGTTGATAATTGCATTTTTTTAATATTTATTTTTAACAAGATATCCAGGTGGGTGGAATGTGTATTCAAGTTTGAGAAGAGTTAATTTAAAACTGTGCTGTCCTACATTAGAACCACACCTTCACTTAATTTAAAGTTATTAAAATGAAATAAAATGAAAAATCATTTTCTTCAGTCACTGCAGCCACATTTAATCTCACAGTAACCACATGTAGGTAGAGGTTCCCTGTTTGACAGCACATATTCAGAACATTTCTATCAGTACAGTAAGTTCTATAGCACTGTGCTCTGATGGACAATCTCTTCTGAAAATTTTTCTAGTGCTAACTGAGGAAGAGAGAGGGTAGATATCTGAAAGAGGGGATTGAGCATTTTTGAAGTATATTAGCAATTAGACAACTTCCATGTGTACCAGATATTACAGGAAGAGCGAGAGAGATGTGTGAAAGTAAATCAGAAGTTTGAGAGTAGTCACTCCTTCCACAGGATGTAAAAGAAGATATATTTGTCCTTAAAAGTGAGTTTCAAGTGATTTCAGATGAGGTCATCTCATATGTAATAAAAACATGTGATTAATCATGTTTAAGACTGTGCTGTCCTACATAATCAATAATAAAACTGTCAATCTCATTTAAATAAATTAAAATGAAATAAAATTTAAAATTAATTTCTTCTGTCACTGTAATCACATTTAATCACTCAGTAACCACATGTGGGTACAGATTTTCTATTTGACAGTATAGATTCAGAACATTTCTATGAGTCCAGTAAGTTTCTGAACACATAGCCTTTCTTTATCCTAAATAGCCTTTATTGGTTTTTTTTTTTTTTTTTTGCCCTTTTTAGTATTTACTCGACATGGTTACTTTTCTTCTTAAATCTCTGAAAATCCACTGAATTTTGGAATGCTTAAATGCAGCCCCTGTGGATTGACCTGGTAATCATTACTTCCATCTCAATCATTTATGATGGTTTGTAGTAGGTTAACATTCCAATTGACAGAACATGAAGTCGGTTGTGAGATATCCATCACTGAACTAACTGTAACTGGGTCACCCAGCATTCAAGACCTTGTTCGTGCAGCTGTTAGAGAAGATAATAGCCTGGGTCACAGCCAATAACAGAACTCTCTGTAGCACCCCATCCTTCTATAAATGTAGAAAGAGCTTTGCAGGTGAAATTCTCAGCAATTGCTGTCCAGGAAAGACAGAGGTCCCCTGCCATCCATTAAGGAAATAGCCCTTAGCCCCTAAGTGTTTACATTTACTTGCAACCCTAATAGCCACAGGACTGATGAGAATTGCATGAATGAAATGACGACATAATGCTGTAGCAAGAACTTTTCACATATCTTAAATTGAAAATATGTAACTTGGGATATATTTTCAACAATTATTCAAAAAATTATAATATGGTTACAGCAGGGACCAAAATAGTAGACATTTGAAGGTCTGACTTAATATCTTTAGTTTAGATAAAACTGTGGCCTATATAATTTTTGCTGTCATTGCTATTGCTAATGGTGCTATTGTGGGTGACATGCAGCACCTTCCTCTAGACACTCCAAAAATGCCTCCCCAGGAGAATTAGAAGGTTGCAGACCCAAATTTATAAGCTTACTTCTATATATATGGTATTTGTTCTTGGTAGGATAACCTGCCCTCAAGTCCCAGAGTCTTGGTTTCGTCAGTGCTAGTCAATAAATGACTTTAAGAACTGGCAAATTGATTTTTATGGTATTGGCTAAGTATAGCCTGATGACATTTTAATGTTGATTATCCTCTTTTGGATTTATGTGAAAAAATTCTCAAATCGCTATTAAATCGAAGTCAAATACATAGATTGTTGGAAATAGGGGCATTGATAATAAGAAGCAGAGGATCATAAATATTTATTTGAACATATATGGCGCTTAATTTTAGTGGATAATATTAATTTAGTGCTGAATTATCCAATATTTACCTAATTCCATTAGCTCTCATGTTGCAAACTGGTAGATATGGAGTAGTGAAATCAGTCATGTTTGCTGTGAAATGTTTATTCAACATCCTTAGGTGAACATGTTCAACCAGTTTATTAAGGATGTGACAGATTAGTTCACATTTTGTTAATAAAAAATCCAGAGAGAATTATGAAAATTCAAAAAGTGATTCAAATGAGAATTTTTTCTTTTTAATAATCTTCTGTGTTCCCACTTAGAATGTGTATTGAAAAAATTCAAATCATGTGTATTTTAATTATCATTTTAAATATAGAAAACACATGCCAAATTTTATTTAAATATTTAGAGAAAACAATCTTAGGAGTAGGGTTTCTGTTATTAAGTTATTTAGAAGTTTAAGAAAGATGGGGCATGAGTAGGTGATCTCGCAGTGTTCTTCAGCTTATAACTGGTAAAATGTAGAATTGTAATTCCACTGCTTCACGATTCACATTTTTTTTCTTTGTAGATGCATTAGGTGATCTCTAATGCCCATTCTAGGTCTCAAAAATCTATTATACTGCTTTGTAAGAGAAGGTTGCTGACCCTGTTTAGAGTTGTTTATTTACCAAATGAATGGAGCAGACTCAGCCCCCACCCCCATCCTTCCTCAAATGTTTCAATCACCAAAACAGGGGGATCAAACCCAGCTTACTCGGTAGTCACTCAAATACCTTTTAAAAATTCTATTTTTTTCTAAAATAGTTATCCATCTTGTGCGAAGAGTTTTCTACCCCAGTGCCAATTCCTAGTGCTTGGTGCAAACAACTTGCAGGAGAGTTTGTGCTATTGCTCTCACGAAAAAACCGATTTTCCTCGTATATTTGATTAAACATGAGTTAATTTAGATGAAATCTGAAAGATCAGAATGTGCAGAATAAAGCCCTGCAAGAAATATTTGCATAGGAATCAAAGAGAAATAGTATTTTTAAGGAAAATCTGAAAGTTGTCTCAATTTGACCGAAGTTTTAAAGAGAGTTGGGGGAGTTTGGAAAGTCTCAGGGTGTCGGTTTTGACACTAGGGATAGCAAATAAGGCAGGAATGAAGCGTGAAGACTCTCAGATCCGTTTCCCCCAGGTCCCTAATTATTTCGTGCCCAGATTTCTTATATTTTTCTTCTTTTTTAAGGGGAAAGAAACACAGCCACGCAGCAGAGACGAGGAGCTCTTCTCAGCAGCGCGGCGCACGGAGCAGGCAACCAATCATCACTCAGCTACTCTCTATATAAACCCCCAGTCACTGGCGCCCGGGACATGCGGTTCTGACAGTTTAACCTTACTTTTTGTCTTTCCTGGCAAAGCAGAAAAATGTCGGAGACGGCCCCAGTTGCTCCTGCAGCTCCCGCACCTGCAGAGAAGACACCTGTTAAGAAGAAGGCAAAGAAAGCAGGCGCAGCTGCGGGGAAGCGCAAGGCGTCCGGGCCCCCGGTGTCCGAGCTCATCACCAAGGCTGTCGCCGCCTCCAAGGAGCGCAGCGGCGTGTCCCTGGCCGCGCTCAAGAAGGCGCTGGCGGCCGCGGGCTACGACGTGGAGAAGAACAACAGCCGCATCAAGCTCGGCCTCAAGAGCCTGGTGAGCAAGGGCACCCTGGTGCAGACCAAGGGCACCGGCGCCTCGGGCTCCTTCAAGCTCAACAAGAAGGCGGCCTCCGGGGACGCCAAGCCCAAGGCCAAGAAGGCGGGCGGCGCGGCCAAGCCCAAGAAGGCTGCGGGCGCGGCCAAGAAGCCCAAGAAGGCGACGGGCTCAGCCACCCCGAAGAAGAACGCCAAGAAGACCCCGAAAAAGGCGAAGAAGCCGGCGGCCGCGGCTGGGGCTAAGAAAGTGGCCAAAAGCCCCAAGAAGGTAAAAGCGGCCAAGCCGAAGAAAGCGGCTAAGAGCCCCTCTAAGGCCAAAGCCCCTAAGCCCAAGGCTGCCAAGCCGAAATCTGCCAAGCCTAAAGCTACCAAGGCCAAGAAGGCGGCGCCCAAGAGGAAGTAAAAAGTTGCAGCGGGACGTCCTGCCTGGAAAATCTCAAAGGCTCTTTTCAGAGCCACCCACTAATTTCAGTCAAAAGAGCGTAACCACATATTTTACTTCCTTGTCGACAATAAGGCAAAATCATAGATTGATTTTTAAATTGCCGCAAGAGTTGCCGCCCTCCGGCGTGATTGGCTGCGTCGATGCGCCCTCGCGCGCGGGCGCTCGGTACTTGGAGTGCGGGTAGGACCGGGTCACGTGGCCACAGTCCCTCCTACGGGATTTTTTTGGCTCTACAAAGAGCCTGCGGTAGCCTGTGTGGGGCGACCATGCACAAGTTGCCCCCTTTACTCTCGTGGCTCTCGGCCTTCTCGGGCAGCAGCAGGGCCTGGATGTTGGGCAGGACGCCGCCCTGCGCGATGGTCACCTTGCCCAGCAGCTTGTTGAGCTCCTCGTCGTTGCGGATGGCCAACTGCAGGTGGCGCGGGATGATGCGCGTCTTCTTGTTGTCGCGCGCCGCGTTGCCCGCCAGCTCCAGGATCTCGGCCGTCAGGTACTGCAGCACCGCGGCCAGGTACACCGGCGCGCCGGCGCCCACGCGCTCCGCGTAGCTGCCCTTGCGCAGCAGGCGGTGCACGCGGCCCACGGGGAACTGCAGCCCGGCCCGCGACGAGCGCGTCTTGGCCTTGGCAGGGGTTTTACTGCTCTACTTCCGGCGCCCAGACATGTTAAGGGAGAGTACAATTTTCCATTGCAGGGCGATCGAAGAGGGGGAGGCTATTATAGTTTCTGGATATTTTGTAAACTTTGCTTTCGGTTGCTTTCCAGAGGCTGTGAGAGTCAATCAGGAAATACCCCTGGAGGTATTTGCATGGGCCTCAGAAAAAAAACATAGCAGCAGCTAGACTGAGACATTAAACCTGTGTATACTGTGAAACTTAAAAGCTTGGGTTTTTCCTCCCATGATATCAGTGGAGACTTCTTTTCATTCTGCCTAAAGCGCTATTTTCCTAGCTACCATACTGACGCTAACGGATAGTAATTAAAAAAAAAAAACTAGTGGTTTATAATTTATTCTCTTCCCTAGATTCCTTACCCCCAACTTTTTGAATGTCCTGTCCTGAAATCCAGGGCTGGTTGTCTAATCTGTGATGTGTAGAGAAAGATCTGCGAGGGTGAAAACGGAAGAAAAATCGTTGGTAATGGCAACATGGTTGGTCAGAGAGCTGGGCAAAAAAATATGGGCTCCAGGATTTTACCTGGATTTTAAACCATTAACATATTGCCCCCAGAACTGCGATTTTTTTTTTTTTTTTTTGGTACTGGCATATCTGTTTTTCAGATTATTATGGGGCTATAAACTTGGATGGGGAGAAATTAATTTTTATTTTCACAGAGTAACTGCAAATTAGCATTTACTTCCTTCAGTAATTTGTCTAGGCAGTTTGTCTTTGCATTACCTGTGACTATTTGCATCAATGACAATGAGATATATTCATACCACTTTGTTGATTTCTTGAAATCTAGTTTCCATTGATGAGTCCTTGAAACTGACATTCATTATTTCTCCTGCAGTTGAACCTTGTTATTGGATGTTGTTAATGAAAGATTATTTATATTTAAAAGAATTACTTTGATGGTTGTATTTTTTTCCTCTTTATTTTGATGACTATATTTTATTTTTTTTTAATTTTTTTTCAAAGACATTTACAATAACTGGGGTACAGGCCAGAGGTGTGGGGGGTGAGAGGATTCACCAGAGACAGAGCCAGGAACAGAACAGGCAGATTGACTGAAATACACTGCTGAGGGGAGCAGCGGGCTGTCAGGAGAGGTCGGCTGTGCCATGTGGGTAGCTCTCTGGTCAGGGGATTGAACTTGTGCTGTAGAGGCTGTGGATAGCTTCATAGGTTGCCTCTTAATCCCTTGCACCACCAGGGAGGCCTGATGACTATATTTTAATGGCACTAATTTTCTTTTCCTGTATGCTGTACGAATTTTAAAACATTTTTTTTGACAAGGTTGTTTACAGGTTCCTACAGGCTATCCAGAGTCCACAGCAGAGAACAAATCATTAGCCCCTGAGCAGATCTTCAGTGGACACAAATCCCTCGTGAGTGAACTTTGCTTTCTCTTTACTTTTGTGTTTACAGCACTTCTCCCCCTTTGGTTAATAGCTTATTACATTTAAAAGTTTAAGTTTCCTTTAAAAAAAAGTTGTAGGCTATGACTATTTCTAACTCTTCTAAAATCATCTATAATGTTCCCCATTCATAGCTGTATTCTGTAATTTCTTCTTTCTAGAGAGAGCCAAAAAACCTAAGAGAAGTGTTGTGGGCACAGGAAAAATTCCACCACCCCTTTGGTTCTTCTGAGACTGAGCAAATAAATTAATATCAGATCAGTAGGAGAAAAAGACCAAGTCTAGTAACATGTATGGAGAATTTACGTGCAGTGAAATCCAAAGTAAATGGGACAAACTGGGGATTATGTCTGTTCTCAGGGGCCTAGGATGTGCAGGGGAGAGGGGTCTCACATGACATGGAGGGGGGTGGGGAACACTTCATTTGACAAAATCTTGCCTCTAGATGTTTACCTTAACATAGATTTTTCTGATAACAAGGCTGTTAGTAGAGATATCCCTGAATCTGGATAATCTTCTTTCTCTTATGAATAGTAAGTTTTTCCTGAGGCCCTAAGGGCCTTGACTGACCTTAGTTCCACATGCTAGGGTGACACATAATAGAAAAGGCTTTCTCTGGACATCCTGGAAAAAGCCTATCAGATCTTTTTTGAGAGACCAATCCCACAATAGCTTGGTTGATGCAATCTGGATAAATGGATCTATAATGTGAACTATTCAATAGTTATTCAAAATAATTTGTCAAAATAAGAGATTGCATCCAGAGGGAAACATAATGGGGAAGAGATTTCAACTTTTGCTGAAGAGTGAGGAGAATGTTGAGAATTAGGTGGGAATGTGACCTTCACTAAGAGAGCTCAAAATAATTGCAGCTTTGTAGTTCCTTAAAGTTTACAAAGCTTTTTGTATGGGGGAGACATGAGAGGACATTTGGACAGTCACACAGAAGAGAGACATGGAGAGATACCAGAAGAAAGGGGTGCTTGCTTCTCAGCTTTGGACATTGTGGAGTAAATGGGACAAACTGAATGTGGAATGAGACCTGGGATATCAAGGAGTGAGGAAGGAATCACATAATGAGGGGCTTTCTGTGCCAAATGCTTGCTTCTGAATGCTTTCCCTTTACAATATTTGTGGCTTATATAGGTTCATCAGACATGGGTTATTCTGGATATTACGCTAACAGATTTAGGGTCATCTAACATATAACATATCATCAAACTTACTTTCGCTTTAAAGAATGATATTGGGTAATATGTCTGCAGTGGCCCACAGGATCTCTATTTTCCTTAGCTCCATATGCTAAAGAAGGTGACATGTGATGGAAAAACCTGCACAGAGTATCTTGGAAAAAGTCTATCTGAACATTCTGGAGGAGGCCTATGCTACGCTGATCCACCAAAAGTAAATTTTAGAACCAGCCAGAAGTCACTACTTTCTCCCTTCTACTTAGTTTGCTTGACTCCTGAAGGCAGCAGATTGAGTTCCTGTCACTATGGAGACCTTGATTATTCCTATTAGTAAATTAGGTGATGAAAAAAATTCTGGGTTGCTGACATCATCTTCCTTGTCACAGTCTCTCCTTATTCTCTCATACCTTAAATGATCCCATTGCTCACCAAACTGTATCCTAATTCTCATTTCTCCAGTCTCTAGCCCTAAATTCTGTTATATGCCTCATGAAAAGGATCACTGTCTCCCAGATCCCTTAGTTTAAGTGAGAGCTTTGTAGTCTTTATACACAGTAATACTTTCCTCTCACAATATATAGCACTAACAACTCAAATTTCCTTGTTGCTAAAAAAATTTTTTGTCTTGGGCTGGGGTCAGCAATGTTAACCTGCAATTTCCTCTTCTCTCTATGTGTGAGAAGTCTTTCCATTTCAAGTGTCATTTCCATGAATACATTTCCCTCATTTTAAAAGCTGGTTTCTTTGATAATGTGTTTTAATGTCATTTCTTAATTGGATGCTTTTATTATCAACAAAAATTTATAATGCATGTATTCACCCATTAATTGAAACTAAACTCTAGAATTAGTCCTTTTAATTGTTTTTTTCACTAATCTAGTACAGTATCTTCTATCTAGTATCTTACTACTCTTGAGTGAGATATTGTAGGTGTGTTTTTAATTGAAGCTGATTCGTAAGATCCTATCAAACAAGTGGGATCAGATCTACCATAGTAAATAATTTCAGTTACTTCATTTTTTTTTTTTTTTTTCTCTGTAGGAAGACAAGGGTAATAAATATGCCAGTTTTGATTCTCCTTCCCATGACTTGACTTATGCATGAGGTCCATCACTTTCAGGGCCTCCCCTGGTGGCGCAGGTGGTTGAGCGCGGCACTGTGAAGCTGACCATAGACTCTGCAGCATGGGTTCAGTCCTGGTCTGCCTGCAAGGGTTCAACATGAGGTGGCTGACCTCCTGTCTCTCCCGCTGCTCCCCTCAGCAGTGTATTTCGTCAGTCTGCCTGTTCTGTTCCCCACTCTGTCTGGTGAATCCTCTCACCCTCCCGCGCATCTGACCTGTACCCTGGTTCTTGTATAAATGAATAAATAAATCTTAAAAAAATGCATATAAAACTTTTGCAATAAAAAATGTCTCCAGATGTAAAATATCCTTATTTCCCTGTGAGCAGATGCAGTGAAGGAGTGTGGAAAAAAGAATGAAATGTAATTTCTGAATTGATTTTTAGCTATCATGCCCATTAGATAAAGCACTGGTTGGAGACTATTTGCTTGTTTAACAAGGTGTGTACTGACAGGCAGCCATGTAAGCCTGAAAAGGACATATACCTTAATGGCCCCACACATATAAGATATGATATATATATTATATGTGTACATATAAGATGTGACAAGTCAGATTTGTGATCCTCTTTCAATAATTTATGTGAATTACAATCTGGTAGTAATTCCTATTCAACATATGCTTTCTAAAATAAAGAAAAAAATTTATAGTAGTAATTGCTATTCAACATATGCTTTTTTTTTTTTGTGGGACCCTCGCTGGCAGCCAGGGAAGGAACCGGCGCTGCAGAGGCTGTGGGCAGCCTTGCAGCCCAGTGCTCAACTGCTGCGCCACCAGGGGAGGCCCCAACATATGCCTTTTAAAATAAAGAAAAAGTTGTATGGTTTAACCATCAAATCATTGTTTGAATGGTGGGCAGAGAGACTAAATTCATCTGTTAATGTTACATTTTTATTGATTCCCACTGATTATATTTCTGTGCAATGAGTTGTAATTATACTATAATTAAAACTTCATTTATATAAGACCTTATAAAATTTCAAAACCCATTCATTCCTTTTAACATATACAAAATAAGATAAACATGTCCATGTCAGCCTTCCTATGACAGCTTCTCCATGAAATATGGAAAGTCCTCAGGGGTTGATGTTTACACTGATTTTTAAAGTAGTAATGCCCAATGAATAAAGTTTTGGCCTTATACTTTATTATCTAGAACTTTCAATTTCCTTATCTATAAAGTATGAATGGACTAACTGTATATAATAGATGTTGGTAGGCAATTATTGATTTTACCTTGTATTTTGGGTCCTTGTGGAAGAATATGTGTGAAACTTCTAGCACATTGCAACTCAATAAATGTTGATTATTTGTACTTAGGAAAACTATATTCCGGACTTACTATATTAAAATCAAGTATCTTTCTTTAGCTAGAAGTATACTGAAAGTTAATTCCTGCTCAGTCATTTTTAAGTTAATATTTGATTATATTTCCTGAGTGTATATTTTAGGCAAAGAAACATTCTGGTGGGTTTAATAACATGTTTTCGGTGCCAGCTGTTTGCTTGTTTTCCTGTTCCATATCTGTGAGACAGAAACAGATTTGACACTGTATTGTGCTTGAACCTCAAGGTACAGGAAATGGGAAATCATGTTCTAAAATTGAATGCCTTCTTTATCCATCAGTATAAATATATCTAAGAATTCAGTTAGTTTCAATGTGGGTAGCTAAGCTTTTGTGTACATGGACCCAGACTCAATTTTCAGCACCTAAGCATTAGTGTCTGATAGACTTCCAAGAACAAAAATTTTTCTATAAAACCTCCAAGACCTACCTATAGAAAACTGTTTGTACTTATAGTGTTCTCTCTTTTAAATTTACCACTCAGTTATCCTTCTTCCTTAGTGATCCTTGAGGGAAAACAGCATTAAAAAAATTAATAGTAAAGTCTCAATTCTGCAGTTAGGCCTATCAGGAAACTAATTTGCTGGTATTTAGTCCTAAAATTTTTCACAAAAACCTTAAAATTCCTCCTTCCACGTAGAAAACACTTTCCTCTTTCCAAATAATCTGTATGGTTTTAAAGCAATTCTCTTTCCTTCAGCAAACAGAAATAAGAACCTTTTTGTTCCATGGGAGACCTATTTAATATGGAATAGACATGAAACTTCCTTTTTAACTATCTGAGGACAGAGTATTTCTGGGGATAAGCCTCGTATTTCCTAAGGGTTTTCATATATTTTCTTGAGAAATAATTTCATGCGACGATTTTATAGAATGAGAATTTAGGAAAAGTGAAATACACATATGGAGGTTGTTAGGTCAAAAGACACGTGACTCCTACAATTTCCATTCATGAGTCTGTAGAGGCCCAGGTAAAAATTATCTTCTTAGGAGCTTCAAGTAATAATCTAATCTTTGGGCCCATAAGTATAAGGGTGTCCCCTAAATTTCTGGCAGCTACCAGCAAAGAGCTGTATTTCCACAGTGAGCCAGGACACCGGGGTGCAGAGTAAGGGTTTTGGCCTCTTAGTGGCTGAAAAATCAAGGGGGCCTTTGGGAAAAACTATAGAAGGCGCGTGTAGGGCCTGTCAAGGGTATATAAAAGTAAAACAGCGAATATACAGAACTGGGAGGCAGCAATCGACACCGAGGAATATCAATCACGAAAAAGCCAAAAGCAATAGAGCAAGGAATCTAGAGTAGCACAACTAAGGAAAGAAACTGCCCCGTTCATTTACCTCATTCGCGTGAAGCGCAGAAACTGCGTCCAAGTGAAACTGCGGGGCAGTGCCCAGTTCTGAAGCCGGACTTAGTACAGAAATGCCTGTCAACCGTCACTGCGCGCTTTTTTTTCAATTCGGAAAAAGAATCTTAGTATTACAGGACTCTTTAACAGAGTAAGTAGTTGGCTCTGAAAAGAGCCTTTGGATTTAAGGTTAGCCAATACAGCCGAAGACAGTATTTATGCCCTCTCCCCGCGAATGCGGCGCGCCAGCTGGATGTCCTTGGGCATGATGGTGACGCGCTTGGCGTGGATGGCGCACAGGTTGGTGTCCTCGAACAGCCCCACCAGGTAGGCCTCGCACGCCTCCTGCAGCGCCATCACGGCCGAGCTCTGGAAGCGCAGGTCGGTCTTGAAGTCCTGCGCGATCTCGCGCACCAGCCGCTGGAACGGCAGCTTGCGGATCAGCAGCTCCGTGGACTTCTGGTAGCGGCGGATCTCGCGCAGCGCCACGGTGCCCGGCCGGTAGCGGTGGGGCTTCTTCACGCCGCCCGTGGCCGGCGCGCTCTTGCGGGCCGCCTTGGTGGCCAGCTGCTTGCGGGGCGCCTTGCCGCCGGTGGACTTGCGCGCTGTCTGCTTCGTGCGAGCCATAGCTTCCCTGCCAACTGAAGGGGCTCCAGCAATTGGCTCGCACCCTCTATTTATACAGGAACAGGGTCCCTCTGATTGGCTTGTGGGTGATTCCTGTTAGTCATCAGTTGCCAAATCCCGGAAGTGCGCGCCGCGAGTAATTGCTTGTTTCTGATTGGTTCATTTTAATTAGCAGCCATTTTCTTTTCTTTTCAAAAAAAATTATTTTCTAAATCATTGTTTTGTTGATAGCGCTTTATAAACACGCGAGTAGTATGTGTAGACATATTAGTCATTTAATATTCTTGATTTTTTTTCTGTGTATAATACAAAATGCAATGCTTTTCAAGGGACACTACTTTAGAACCTCATAAATAGCACCCGCCTTTTTCTGCATTGTTAACCCGTTATTATCTGGGTAGAACTCCCTGCCTTAATCTCCCTTAAGACCATTATTTTAGTACTTCGTGATTCCTATTCCATACTTACAGTAAATACCCACTTAGTTGTAGCGTGGGCTTTTAAGATACGCTCTACCTATTTTGTGTTTGAGTACTCACAGCAAAATTCCTATTTCCTGGCATTTGAATTTAGGATTTGAGATACAATTTGAGTCTGCTGTTTTATTATTTTTTTAAATCTAAAAGGGCAGGTTCATTTTATAAAAAAAAGGAAATAAGCGTCTTGCAGGCACAAATGGGCAGGGAGAGCTAATGTTTTGCAAAGGAAATTATTTTGTGAAAAATACATGTATAGGCTCAGGGAGGCAGGATTTTTGCTGTTGTATTAAATGCGTTAAAATGTCAGCCGGCCCTAAATCAAGAACTCTCAAGAAAACGCATATAACCTGGAAAAGATGCCGAACAAGAGGTTTAGGTGAATATTTCTTCACAATACACCCCGCAATTAGATATTCCTCTCTGTAACTCTATGACGGCAACTTAAAGCAACCTATAGGAGTCCTTGAAAATGTGCGTTTTTCATCCAATAAAAAAAGGAGTTCTGTAAGTCCTAATTTACATAAAGTTTATTTACTGGTCGATTTTGGCCCAATCACAGCTTAGTTTTCTGAGCCTTTATTTGTATATACATGTAATAAGTGCTTCGGATATGTCACTGCCAGTTTCACTTCCCCAAGGCTTTAGCCTTGTTATTTTTGCATGGTACATTCTGCTAAATTTTGGGCCATCACCAAAAAGTGTTCCAGACAGCAGTCTCACGGATAAAAAAGAAGATAATGAATAACACGCTGGTGTAGGGGGAATTCTGCCTTGTATATAGATGTCTAAAGTAGTTGTACTCTCTAAGTCATGGATATCTAATTTAAAGCCATGGGTGGCTTGCACTGCTGTGCTAAGAACATGGCCAAGTGCATTATGGGCAAGACTTGTTTTGTTTGGCAAATTACAGTAAGGTGGCTCTGACCCTGCTGTTACCTGGAGAACGAGACAATTTTTAGAGGGCACTAAGTAAGCTTCTTTCCATTAATTTTCTACATCTTGTTCCCCAAAGTTATACTGTTGAAAGTTGTAATACGAGAGTTTTTCTACCAGTTTTATTAGACTAGCTTTATCTTAAATATGTTTTTAGGTCCAAGAACACCGGTTTATTTAACTTTTGTTAATTTTTAGTGCAGTTAAGAATTGGAAACAAATATGTGCAATAGGAAGTATTGTAAATCAATAAAAATTTAGGGTGACATTGTGATTTTATTCCTAAAAACCCTTGAATTGTTTTGAAAATAAATTTGTAGTGGTTATGTAACAGGGTGGTCCCCAGGAAAGGGGGAGGTTCCAGCTTCCCTGCCCCACCCAAGGGAGGTGGAGCTGAGGAGCAAGAGAAGAAGCTGCAGAAGAGACTGAGGAAGGAAGGAAGCAGGATGGAGCAAGGAGACTTGGAGGAGGCGCATGGAGCCTAGAGACACGTGAAGAAACTGCGCTTGTCTTTTGGTCGTGGACGGGGTGACACAGATGTGGGTGAGACCCGTGGGGAGGTGACAATGGCAGCTTTTATCTTGATGTTGATTTTGCTCTTTTCCTTCCGGGCTTGTCTGGTTGTTTGTGACCCTTTGCTGTGGGTCCCCACTGGAAGATGCTTTAGACTTGTGGCAGGCTTTGGGGCCTTGTTCTGGACCAATCCCATTTGGATGGACTTTTACCCACGAGGGGACGGGTAACTTTGGGTGCTTCATTTAGAAACTAGACTCTTTGCCTTTCCTGTATGGTTTCCTAGTTTTATTAAAGTTCCTTTTCATTAAAGTCTCATATGTTTTGTGTTGATGCGGCGGATGGCAGAACCCATTTAGAATAGGCAGGTTTGCGGGGTTTGGGCTGACCCTCTCCCTGTCCTATAACAGATTCTTGTGGAGTTAAAAGCTGTAGAATAATTAAATGCTGGTACTTAGGCCAGTATTCTTTATCACAAATATTTCAAAGTTGCCCACATTATATAATACAGTAATAATCGTATGTTCTTCATAAATGTGAACTCATGCTATGGGAAATCACTTGATTTCTATTTTACAAAGGATGCCTATGTTTTGTATGTCATATAGTATATACTGGTGGGGGGGATTTCCTGTTTCATAAGTGTTCAGCATTTCTAAAGCTACAGACATTTTCAAAGGTATTTCTTCAAGTACATTAAAACATTATCCATTATACATTTACCTTGTTTTTGTGAATGGATACAATCAACTTTCAGTTATTCTGAAGCCCCAATTTTGCTCCATTTTTTCTTTCCTATTTCATTTTTTCTTCCCTTCCTTTAGTGAGTGTTGGTTCTTTTGTATTTAGACAGAAAAAATCAAAACAAAACAATAAATGGAATTAAGAGCTACTCTAGATGTGCTAGAAAAACAGTTAGATTGCAATCTATGCTTTCATATGTTAACATTTTGAAAGCAAATTCCATACTGGTTAAAGTGAAATGACTTATGTAAATCACTTTTGAATACAAATTGTGGCTTATATTTCTTGTGAGGGGAGCCACCAACACATCAGCTATAGATTTACCAGTTGAGTACCGGGTATATATGTGGAGGGTTACATAGTTGTGAAAAACGAGTAAACATGCTTATAAAGTTTGAATGAGCACATAAATGAGGTTTGTTTTTAAATCTAAGTCTCCTAGTAATTCAAGACTGCAGTTTCAGTTTATCTTGTTATTTTAGACGGAGCATGGATTGTTGAAAACACCCAGTGAGTTGTGTACAAGTTATCCATTCCTACCTAACAGATCACTTCAGGTAAATTAGCTTCAGGCAATGCACATGTATTCTTCGCTTGATCTTAGCTAAAAGGCTGAGAAGTGATCACAGTTTTGCAGTTTTTGTGGGCCTGACAATTTGCTTAGCTGGGTTCTCTCTTAGATTGCTAGTGAAGATGTTAGAGGTCTTTTGGGTGCTTGATTTGGGAAGGATAAACTTCCCACTCAACTACTCAACTAAATTCTTTGTGGCTTTGGGACTGAGAATACTTTCTTGCTGTAGGTTGGAAGCCCTTGTGGTGGGAGGCCACCCTGAATTCCTAAAGAGCCCAGTACAGTAAGTTTCTTCTCATTTGTGTCTGCGAACATGCAGACACAACCATCAAAACCAAAATCAAGAAAAATATGTTATAATCTTAAGTAACAATCATATACACAAAACCGTCTCCTTTACTGTGCTCTTTGGGTTGGCTGGAAGTCCAGGTCAAGCCCACATTTAAGGGACAGCAACATCAGATTGAACCACAAGAGTGGGAATCCTCACCCAAAACAAAGTTCACAAAATAGTCCTCCCAACCACCCCCAAGACACTGGATTAACTAGCTGGCAGGCCATTTGAAATCCATGAGAGATTAGACGTGTTCAATACTTCCTAGCATTTTCAGTTGAAATACTCGGGCCTCAATTGAAGCACGAAGCATGCTTGTATAACAGTCAAGTGTTTACTTATGTGAGATAAAAAAGCTTAACTATCACTGAAACTATACTTCCATTACCTTACAAAACGAATACCGAAGCTAACAAATCACGTAGTGCATATATCATTTTTCCAGATTCAGGAAATAAAGCAAAAGGAAGTCACCAACTCTTTTATATGAACATATAGATGGCCCTGAAAAGGGCCTTTAGACATTGCTGAAATAAATCCTCGTGGGACACCCATTTTAGCCGCCGAAGCCGTAGAGGGTGCGGCCCTGGCGCTTGAGCGCGTAGACCACGTCCATGGCCGTGACCGTCTTGCGCTTGGCGTGCTCGGTGTAGGTGACGGCGTCGCGGATCACATTCTCCAGGAAGACCTTGAGCACCCCGCGGGTCTCCTCGTAGATGAGCCCCGAGATGCGCTTGACGCCGCCGCGCCGGGCCAGGCGGCGGATGGCGGGCTTGGTGATGCCCTGGATGTTGTCGCGCAGCACCTTACGGTGGCGCTTGGCCCCTCCCTTGCCGAGCCCCTTCCCGCCTTTGCCGCGGCCAGACATGGTGAACAGAAAATCACACAAACAACGGTCCAGTAACAGCGAAGCGATACTGATATTTAAATCCGCCTTGCGGACCTTTTTGAGAACTACAAATTGGGTGAGGGGGCGGGGCTAGTTGGTAGCGGAACACTCCCCGCCCACGAATGCCAGTTTGTATGCGTATGGGAGGCGGGGGACAGCCAGGAAAAGAACTATTTTTTAGTACCTGTATTCAATAAGAGGCCCTCAAATAGACACATTAAACATTCTTTCCGAATTTCTAGACATTGAAATAAGTGTACCGCTCAAGCTAACATCTTTCGCCCATGTTTGAATTATTAGTATTCTTACATATAAGCTTGTATTCATTGCCTGATCTCTACAAGGCCTATCTGTTCTGTGGTTTCTCTTAAGAATTTTTGTTCCTTTTTCAACAAAATAAAGTAATGATAGTAAAGTGGATGGGATGAATGCGTCCCTGGTTGGGCCCTTCACACATATATATATATCGCCTTCTGATGCTCAGGAACTTTTGGTGACAGGTTGCCTCATTTTCACTTTTTTTTTTTAATCTGTGAAACGGAAAGTTGATCTTGAGATCAGGAGATGTTTCAAAAATAAACATTTAAATTTGAAGTCAGGTGTCCAACATACTGAGGACTGCCAATCACTAAGGAATTCCCATCTTCATGTCCCACCAATTGATTCTTCCCTATTCTTGAATTTCTCACACTGGTATATTTCAGTTTGGACTTTGGTCAGTTCCTTTCATAAAGTACGGGTTGTACTTTGCAAATCTTTGTTTTAGAGATGAGTAGTAAATTTTCATGATTACATTTTAATTAACTTACGCCTTATATTTGACCAGCCATGGCCATCACTAATACCACATCTGAAACCGAATTCATCCTAGAGTTGTATTTTCTTATATAGTATTTCGGAGCCACATTTCAGCATTTGGATTGTAACACGTTTTGAAGAAAAAAAGAATGCTGTTATTTTATTGTAATTAGTTCTTATATAAAAGCCTATATTCTCTTCAATTATTGCAATTTTTAGTTATGTTTGAACTGGGGCATGAGAACTTAATTTGTGAACAGAAACTTAAGTGTAATTTCCTTTGCAAATGAAAGTATTTCCTATAAAAACAAGTATCTGAATAAAATATGCATCCAATTTGTAAGTTTTAAGCTGATGAAGGAAATATAAAATATTACATTAGTATCTACTGTTTTGACATGTTTAAGAAATTGAGATATTTGGGCTACATACAGTATTAGTAAAATAATTGTACCTCCCCACCATCCTGTAGTGTGGCTACTACAAATAAACTACATACGTGGGTTGCATTTTCCATAAGCAGCACTGTTCCAGGTTTCTTCCTTTCCTGTTTCTTGGTCTATCAAACGTTGCTCTCATGTGGCTTGGAAAATGATGGACTTCAAATCTATTTCAAGGCAACCTAGGTACTGAAACTGCACTCCAGTTGGAAACACTGTAATAACCTGAATTAAAAAAAAAAAAAAAACAGATCAGGTGGATAAGAGAGGGCTTAAGTAAACTAATGCATTTAAACATGAATATCATTAAATTTCACTCCTGTTCTTTGGAGTCTAGACAGAATAAAAATGACCCCTGTTCTCTTTCAAGTCTGGTTAATTACTTTGTAGTCTAGACAGAATAAAAATACAAAGAAATTGATTAAGTTAAGAATATCGAGCAGTTACACCATGAAGTTTCATGGAATCTTATCTTGCAAATTCTGCCTTTTCCTAGTAAGGATTCAGTGTGAGGAAAAACTACGTGAGACTTGGAAGTAAGAAAGATAAAAAGGGTCATAAAACCAAGAAAACCCGAGTTGAACTTGCTACTCCTGCGTGATAATGTTTGAAGAGGCTTTAGAACTCCAGTTCGGGGAACAGTCCCATGTTAGCAACGGTAAGCACAAAAGCGAGTCTAGTTCACATTCAGGTCCGCATATGCAAATAAGGGTTTCACTGTGTTCAGTTCTGATTGGTGAAAACTTTGCTAGCGTTAATTGGTCGATTTGCCTGGGCGGTGTTTGTCTTGCTGGTTTGGCATCATTGTTCTATGATGGATGTGTCTGCGCATGCTTGTGCCTGATGCGGTTGTAGTTGGCCTTTGACCCAAATTATAGCTGCCTTTTACTCTGGTTTAATCCTATACTCGGGATGGTGCAACTTTCTTTTCTTTTTAATATTATTTATGAACGTACAATATCATACAAGGTTCAATGTCAGAAAGATTTTGGGAATGTGCACTTTCTGATCATTTTATATCTTGCTCTTTATATACGGTGCAAAATTTAGTGAGGACAATTGTTACGTTGTATTTTCTGGGTTCGCAGAGTGGGGCCCTTCGGTTCACTCTGGGAAAGGTTTCATCAGAACTCCCCTTTCAGCAACACCGGCGAATTCCTAGGCAAGTTTCTCCATGTCACAGAGGTGTTAAAAAAAGGGTAGGTTTATTACAAAGGAGAGAGAAGAATAAAGGACACTTGCGTAGACACAAACAGGTACAAAGACCTGCCCTGAAAGGGACACCTTTGCCAATAGAGAGACCTGCATGATTGCAGGCATGCAGCCTTGGGAGGACCCTGCCCCTGCTGAGGGAGGTCAATGCAGGGAAGACAGGCATGGTACAGATCGTGGGCAGGCAGGAAGGCTGCTGCTCTGCGGAGGGACACAAAGTTGGCAAAAAGAAGCACCTACATAGGCACAGGAGGGAAGAAGGGCATTGCTGTCCCGTGCCAGTTCAGAGATTGCGCTGATATAGTCTTCTGTTTGGGAGGGACTCACTCCTTCATGAAGATGTTTGTTGTTGACTTCGAATAAAATATGTAGAATTTGAAGGAGGCCAGATTTTTACAATGGCCCTAAGTCTCCATATCTTCACTTCAGGTCTGTGTCCCTTATAATGCCTACAGCAGTGTGATACCTGCTTGGGTCTTGTGCTTTGTGATCTAGGTTTTGAAGAACTTAGTTTCTATAGCTTGGTTAATAGCTTTGTTAATCCCTTCTACCCCCACCCCAGCTCTTGGCATTGTGTGAGCCAAGTTTCTGATACTGTGTACCTCTTTTCCAATTTTTCTATCCTTATCTTCCATCTCTTGTACATTTTTATTTGGTAGTGAGGTAGAAAAGTTTTGTTGAATGCTGTACAAATAATACCAAAGATTTATGACTTCTTGGGCATCAATCATTTTGTTTTAATGTAATTTATCATTACTAACATTTCTCTGTTAAATTGTAAATATTCTAATTCCTTATTTGACCCTCACTTAGCATCTTACCTTTCCCCCCATTCATTGATCTTTATGGTATTTAGTATATATTGTCTGTATTTCCTGAATCATGGTTTTACCTTCGTTAAATAAGGTAAATGGATGTCATGTTGCTGATTAGAATGGAAGTAAGCATTCCAGGAGAGGTGATGGTGGTCCTTTCCCTGTCTTTGCCCTGAGAAATCATTGGTAACCACAATACAAGAAGGTGGAAATTTAAATGACCAAACCAAATCTTTCACTCAAGCCCAAAAATCCAAACTCTGAAACATGAGAATTGTCATTACATGGAGTTTTATTTGTGATGCTGATGGAGGGGGTTGGAAGGATAGGTAGGCACCCTCCTCAAAAGAACTGATTCCTGGAATGTTGGGAGTGCTAGCACTTTATAAGTGTCTAAGGAATGTGAGGGAAGTCAGGGCTTTACATTTGTATGTTGAGGAGGTGCTGGGCAGACTAGGAGATAGGAGTCAAGGTGTTAGACTTACACAGCAAGGTGTTTCCTCTGCAATCAGATTTTTCTTTAGATGCCACTGTCAAGCCCAGGGGGACACGGAGAAATTTATTAGGTATGCGACACAATTTTCCGAGTTCCTAGGATACAGATGAAGTCAGTAAACAGTTAAATCATAAGAATGGAATAGAGGGTGCAATTCAGTGTTACCAGTTAGTCCTAAATTTTTAGCTTAGTGTTGTTTTTTGTTGTATGAAGGAATGTGGTTACAGAAAGAGCAAACAGGAAGGGCAAATTTTTCATCATGCACAGACTCATTGAGAACAAGGGAAGGACTCTGGTGGCTGCAGCTCTGAAACCTGTTTGGAAATGTGCAGTTATTCAATTATAGTGAAAGAATGGACTGCATTTTCATTGTCACATCAGAGCCTGGTTTAAAAAACCTGCCTATGTAGTGTATAATTATTTTGAGAGATTTACTTTTGTTTGGTTATTAGGGAGTAGTGTCTGTGAATTTACATGTTATCTTTTAAGTTATTAATGATTTCAATGACTATTTCCACTAGAAATTATGTTTAGTTGAATTATGTTAGTTAAAATTATGTTTAGTTGAACAGGTAACCTAAAGGTTATATTATTGTGTCACAAAACAGCTCTTTTTGCTCTAAATGTGTTCTTTTATTTCAATCTTCCTTCTTTTAACAAGGGAGACAAATTTTCCCTTTATCTTTCTGGGTTCTCAGCTGGGGCCTCTGTCACAAAAGAGAGGTTAGGAAGACAAACATTTCATTACCATGCATATTTCAATATACAGGGCAAGAGAAGTAGGAAGCAGTAATACACAAAGTACTGAGAACTCCAGTTTTTCTAGCATTTTCAATAGAGAACAATTAATTTGTAGTGAAATGACAGAAAAACTTTTAGGGTGGCAAAATGTGGGAAGGTAAATACATACAAGTAAATGGGCTGTTATGTACAGTCCTGTGATGCCACACTGTACTAAGCCTGCAGCAGTCTCTAGCACAGAACTTATAGGCTGATATAAAGCAGGGAAAGGAAAGCGAGCTTTCCTGCTATTGCAGCTCAATTTTCTGCAGTAGGAATTATGTCACAGTGGTATATTTTCAGTTGAGTGTGGCCTACCCATTAGATTGGAAAAATAGACTGAATGCTGTAACTGCTAAAATTTGAAAAGCCCGCTCTGAGATGTGCTTTATCAGCTCCCCCTTTTCATTGTCATAATTTTAATTTGACAGCAAGCTTAAGTACATAACACATAATTATGTACATACATCTGTACTCATACACCCCAAAACCTGTTAACATGACCTTATCATTCTGATATTTACGTAAGACCAGTTATGATTTGTCATGACACAATATTCACATTCCTTACCGTTCTTTTGGTGCAAAGGGTCCCAAGTTTTCCTAAGATTGTGAGAAAAACGAGCAAATTCTTAAACCACCTTGTAGCAATAACAATTTTCACTAGTCTATGTAACTTTTAAGACACGAAGCAAGATTTTCAGTGACTCTAAGTCTGTCACATCCAGCATTCCAGCACTTTCGAGATAAAAGTGGGTGGCTCTGAAAAGAGCCGTTGATTTCCAGAAGTTTGAAGTTCTCAGTCTTACTTGCCCTTGGCCTTGTGGTGGCTCTCGGTCTTCTTGGGCAGCAGCACGGCCTGGATGTTGGGCAGGACGCCGCCCTGCGCGATCGTCACCTTGCCCAGCAGCTTGTTGAGCTCCTCGTCGTTGCGGATGGCCAGCTGCAGGTGGCGCGGGATGATGCGCGTCTTCTTGTTGTCGCGCGCCGCGTTGCCCGCCAGCTCCAGGATCTCGGCCGTCAGGTACTCCAGCACCGCGGCCAGGTACACCGGCGCGCCGGCGCCCACCCGCTCGGAGTAGTTGCCCTTGCGCAGCAGGCGGTGCACGCGGCCCACGGGGAATTGCAGGCCGGCCCGCGACGAGCGCGTCTTGGCCTTGGCGCGCGCCTTGCCGCCCTGCTTGCCGCGTCCGGACATGATGATAGCAAAAGATGAAGAGTCACAAAAAAAACCTAACAGAAATGGTCGAAAAGCAGCAGTAAGATGCTAGTTATAGTGCTCGGTGGGAGTGTAAAATAAGAGTTGCGATTGGCTGAAATCGTTTGACTAGCCAACCAATAAAAAATGAGATGTGATGCAATGTAATTTACATATCTGCGTCACTAATGCATTGTCAAATCAGGGGTGAATAGTCGCAAACACCTTATTTGCATACATCGCCTATAAAAGGGGACGCTGTAAACGTACAGCGACATTTCTGAATTTCGTTTCTGTTGTGGGGAGTGTCTGTTTTCGGTATGCCTGAGCCGGCCAAGTCCGCTCCCGCGCCCAAGAAGGGCTCCAAGAAGGCGGTGACCAAGGCGCAGAAGAAGGACGGCAAGAAGCGCAAGCGCAGCCGCAAGGAGAGCTACTCGGTGTACGTGTACAAGGTGCTGAAGCAGGTGCACCCCGACACGGGCATCTCGTCCAAGGCCATGGGCATCATGAACTCGTTCGTCAACGACATCTTCGAGCGCATCGCGGGCGAGGCGTCTCGCCTGGCGCACTACAACAAGCGCTCGACCATCACGTCGCGGGAGATCCAGACGGCCGTGCGCCTGCTGCTGCCCGGGGAGCTGGCCAAGCACGCCGTGTCCGAGGGCACCAAGGCCGTCACCAAGTACACCAGCTCCAAGTGAGCGCGCTCCTATTTCCAGCTTAGACAACCCCAAAGGCTCTTTTCAGAGCCACTTCCTTTTTCTTTGAAGAGTTGTAATGACTTGGGTATAATTACCGAGTGACAGATTTTTTGCTTCTCCAGTGAATATTAAAATGGGAGGTGGGTGGTAATACTCCGCACCAAAAATGCAGGCCTTTCACTGAAAGTAAAATACCTTCATTATGGCTATTTTTTGCTGTTGCCCACTTTGGCTACAAGTTTGGCCAAAATGATGACATTGAAACTTCACTTAACTGTTCTGAAGTAACTGAAGGGAGTTTGCAGTATTGCTTTAATGGTTTCTTTATATAAGATAGTCAAATTTTTCATTACCATATTTTAAATATCCATTAAGTTCATCTACTTATAACTGATGTAAATACTAAGGAATTGGACAATAAAAGTGCTTGAAAACTGAACACTTGACTCCAAAATGGAGGCATTTAATTTTATTAAGAACTTCACAAGACTTAACTAATCAAAGGTTAGATCACTGGCAAAATAGTGATACGTGATATTGGAAGTCCAGGAAACACACCCTTAAGCTATGTTGCTTCTTTAAAATTATTGTCTTTCTTTAAAATTGTTATTTTCCAGTAGAGTTTCAAGTATTGTATTTAAATATTGCATCACCAAAAAAAAAAAAAAAAACATTTTAAAGAAAAATAATCATGTCACCCCGGGTCCTATTTTGTGTACTCAAGCAAACACACTGAAATTTTACTCTTTTGTTCCTATAATTATTAAGCTACTTTAGGTAATAAAATGTCATGAATGGTGTCCTATGTGGAATAATGAAAAAATATAAAGCATGTATTTAGGATTTCAAATCAGGTGTGAATACTGTTTTCTGTAGTCTTGTGTAATTTTTTTTATGAATAGAAACACCTCCTGCACAACGCCAAAATGCATGCAAGCACATGCACAGACAACATAAATATACAAATATTGAAACAAAAATATGTAAAGAACAAAAGCATCATCGTGAAAATGTAAGTGTAAAACCTAAAATACCAGATAGTTACATATATGAGTATATGCATTGATATAAATATCTAACTTTATTTCTGTAGTCTCATGTATCTAACCAAGGTCCATAAACCTGTCAGGGTAGTACATGGGCTCCTTGAAATAACGTGCAAATGATGTGTCCATGTGCTTTTCCACTTCCCAGAGAAAAAGTATGAAGTTTTCGATCATGCTCTGAAAATACTGTGCCGTACTGTGATAGAGTAAATGCCACCCTTATGTTCACCTCAAATCACTGGGAATGTTTGGCTATACAACTGGGGCAATTAAGTTTGCAGATGACATTAAAGATGCCAGTCAGTTGACTTAAAAATAGGGAGACTACCTTGAATTTCAGAACAAATCCAGTGTGAACACATGGGACCTTAACAATGCAAGAAGACACAACACAGAAACAAGAGGAAAGAAGGCAGCCTCAGGATTTGGCGTGAAATTGCTAGCTTTGAAAGTCAAGGAAAAGGGCCCCCAGCCAAAGAGGTAAGGGTTTCCAGTAGCTGAAAAAGGCAAGGAAATATATCCACTACTTTTGATTTTCCATCAATGAGGTTTTTGTTGTTTTGCGTGGAAGTACTGTGGTGTAGGTGGGGGCGTGATGGGTGGAAAAGGATTCGCCAGAGACAGAGTGGGGAGCAGAACAAGTACTGAAATACTGCTCAGGGGAGGAACAGGCAAAAGACAGGTCTGCTGCTCTATATTGTGGGTTACCTCCCAGGCCTGGTATCCAACTCAGGCAATAGCAGTGATAGACTGTGACTTAACCCCTAGGCCACTAGGCAGGCCCTCAGTGAGATTCTTGTCAAAACCACAAGCTCCAAAATATAAAATTATGTCTTATTTTAAGCCACTAAGTTCCTGATGATTTTCTGTTATATACATTTTAAATTTAAAGGTGTATTACAAAAAATTATTATACATGTAAATTCTTTGTAATTCTGGCCTCATGAAATTTTGAAATTGCTCTTATTTTAACAGCAATTTACTTAAAAAAACAATATCGGGCCTCCCCGGTGGCGCAGCGGTTGAGCGCTGGGTTGCGAAGCTGCCCCCGGCCTCTGCGGTGCCGGTTCGATCCCCAGCTGCTCCCCGGCCACCGGAGGAGGGTCCCGCATGGCGTGCAGACCTCTCTTGCCGCCCGCTGCTCCCCTCAGCAGTGTACTTCGGTCCTTCTGCCTGCTCTGCTCCCTGCTCTGGCTCTGGTGAATTCTCTCACCTTCCCGCGCTTCTGACTGTATCCAGTGCATGTATAAACAAACAAACAAATAAATAAATAATAACATGCCTTTATAAAAAAAAAAATAAAAATATCTATAAAAATATCTAGGGCATCTTGTTTTAACAGGAGAAAAAGTCTAATTTCATAGACCAACCTTCCTCTACTTGTGTATATTACTGCTTTAATATTTCAAGTTTGCACTAATTATTTGTAAATATAGGATTATTGGGAAAATATACCTCAGAGCATCGTAACTTCATGAATTGTAAATTCCTCGATGTTTATTTTTATAGCAATTAATGCACCTTCACAGATGTGTCAAGGTTGAGTTGATTTTAAGACTCCCATTTTGTAAGCAAAAGAATATGAAAAGCAAAGTTTCTTACTTGGCAGAACTGACTTCAGCCAAGGTCTTCTAGCGCTGCTTACACAAAGATTTCTATAAACCACATTTATAGATTTCTAAACACTTCAGGGAGTGATCCACACAGAATGCCTCACTCAGCATAAGGTACATTTCTTTTCCTGGCAAGCCATCTTACCCAGTTTCCACTTAGTCCCAAATCAGCACAAAAGGCTTGCTAGGAAGGGAGGTCTCCATCACAGACTAATATGCTGTTCTCAGACTAAATTCCCAGTAAGAATTACCTGACATGACTACTCAAGAAGTGATGCTAGACAAAAGCAAATAAACTATGTACTTTTAAGTAAGAACTTGGGAATGGGTCAACTCAAAAGACTAGGGTGTAAAGCTTCAGGAATGGAATCCCAGCAACCAAAATAAAGCTGGGATTAGAATCATTTGCTACGTGGCTGATGGCCCCTGCAAGTTAATTGTAATATAATTCTGGATTTGAACACCAGTCTGCTTACTTTACAAAATGCAAAGATCGTCAAATATCTTAAAAAAATAAATCTACTGAGCATATTACCCTGTTCGCTCCATAATGAAGTACTAAATACCGTTGTCTAGACACAATTCCAGAACTAAAACAAGCAATAAACTGCATTACAGACTCTCCAGATGAAAAAGAAAGTGGCTCTGAAAAGAGCCTTTGGGGTTGTCTAAGCTGGAAATAGGAGCGCGCTCACTTGGAGCTGGTGTACTTGGTGACGGCCTTGGTGCCCTCGGACACGGCGTGCTTGGCCAGCTCCCCGGGCAGCAGCAGGCGCACGGCCGTCTGGATCTCCCGCGACGTGATGGTCGAGCGCTTGTTGTAGTGCGCCAGGCGGGACGCCTCGCCCGCGATGCGCTCGAAGATGTCGTTGACGAACGAGTTCATGATGCCCATGGCCTTGGACGAGATGCCCGTGTCGGGGTGCACCTGCTTCAGCACCTTGTACACGTACACCGAGTAGCTCTCCTTGCGGCTGCGCTTGCGCTTCTTGCCGTCCTTCTTCTGCGCCTTGGTCACCGCCTTCTTGGAGCCCTTCTTGGGCGCGGGAGCGGACTTGGCCGGCTCAGGCATCACGAACACAAGATGAGCTGCACAGCAAGGAAGAAATGGTGCAAGATCTGGTCTCTGCGTACATATATTTGTAGAGCTCTTACGCAAACTGGATGTTAAAGATCTCGGGCTTTCATTGGATGAGGTGTCTCTCGTTGAAAGGCGTTATGCAAATTATGTGATTCTAGTTCTACTTTGTAATTGGTTGAAATCGCAAAGATTATATTAGCCAATCAAACAGCGGGATTTACAATGCTGCTTGCAAGTATAATTACCTCTCGTTTTCTACGTAGATCTGTGTGTTGGTGCTTCTCTCTCTTTTCTACTCTTTTTTAGTTGTCTTTGAAATGTCCGGACGCGGCAAGCAGGGCGGCAAGGCGCGCGCCAAGGCCAAGACGCGCTCGTCGCGGGCCGGGCTGCAGTTCCCCGTGGGCCGCGTGCACCGCCTGCTGCGCAAGGGCAACTACGCGGAGCGGGTGGGCGCCGGCGCGCCGGTGTACCTGGCCGCGGTGCTGGAGTACCTGACGGCCGAGATCCTGGAGCTGGCGGGCAACGCGGCGCGCGACAACAAGAAGACGCGCATCATCCCGCGCCACCTGCAGCTGGCCATCCGCAACGACGAGGAGCTCAACAAGCTGCTGGGCAAGGTGACGATCGCGCAGGGCGGCGTCCTGCCCAACATCCAGGCCGTGCTGCTGCCCAAGAAGACCGAGAGCCACCACAAGGCCAAGGGCAAGTAAGACTGAGAACTTCAAACTTCTGGAAATCAACGGCTCTTTTCAGAGCCACCCACTTTTCTCTCGAAAGTGCTGGAATGCTGGATGTGACAGACTTAGGGTAACTGAAAATCTTGCTTCGTGTCTTAAAAGTTACGTAGACTAATGAAAGTAAATCGGAAATTGGGAGAATCTTAGCATTTAATATTATTACCCAAAGGCTCTTTTCAGAGCCACCTACACACTCATGAAAAGGGCTTGCATTTTAGTGTTACTAGTTTGTGCAAGATGAAATGGGAGTGATCCTCATTTTCATTTTTTATGCTATTTAATACCATCAGAGTTAGTGTCAGAAGTTTCTGACCAATTTAATATTTAAATGTACCTGGGTCTTAGACTTCATTTAACAGAGAGAGAGAGTGGGAATACTAGTTAGGCCATTGAAGGTGGAAATCTAGTTTGACCTAGAGAGCAGTTAAGTCACACACTTAAAATATTTCTTGAAAGGGGTTATTTTGCATCCCAAGGTCATTAAAACTAAAACCAATCATTTTTTTTTAAATTACCTGAGTCTTATCAATTTTAGCTAGGATTACAATAATACATTGCCTGTAATTGTTGAAAAAGACCTTAAAGCAGGATTCAGCAGATACCCTGATGAACGTAATAATCTTTTATACCTTTTTCAAGGGTAGGTATTGCTCAAGGTTGTTTTCACACAAACTCCGCTTGGAATTGCAATACAGAGTGGTGTGCTTTTATCTGAGGATGTTAGCTATTGAACAGTAAATATGTGGGGAATTCAGATAATGGTCACGATGCATGTAGGATGTCTTAAAAACGTAAAACGTCTGGGTTTATGCTGAGAACAAAAGGAGGTGAAATGAGCCTTCCTAAGGTTGCGTAAGCATAAAACTATCTCTTAGCCAATCACATTTAGCCCGCGCTTTTTTTAAAAAAAATCAACAAAGCTTTGGGCGCTAAGATTTAAATTTTTTATTTACTAGCGCTATCATTGTAATTATTTGAATTCATTCAGTTAAGGAAAATCAAAGGGCATTGTAATAATGCCCTTAAAGAAAGTAGAGGCAAGAAAGCTTTATAAACCTAGCAATTAAGCGGGTGGGTTGCAGGGAGATGTTAATTTTGGGGCTAAATTCACTGAAGACTCATGTGATCGGGAAGTGAAAGTCGCTACCAATGTCTGCATTGCGAGCCGTAGATGAACAGATGCCCTGTCCAATCAGAACGGGACTCTCTTTATATATACTGACAGTGTTGGCGGATTTTCATTTTTCCATCCGTTAACTGCTCCAAGGAAGGTAAGCATGGCCCGCACCAAGCAGACCGCTCGCAAGTCCACCGGCGGCAAGGCGCCCCGCAAGCAGCTGGCCACCAAGGCGGCCCGCAAGAGCGCGCCGGCCACGGGCGGCGTGAAGAAGCCCCACCGCTACCGGCCGGGCACCGTGGCGCTGCGCGAGATCCGCCGCTACCAGAAGTCCACGGAGCTGCTGATCCGCAAGCTGCCGTTCCAGCGGCTGGTGCGCGAGATCGCGCAGGACTTCAAGACCGACCTGCGCTTCCAGAGCTCGGCCGTGATGGCGCTGCAGGAGGCGTGCGAGGCCTACCTGGTGGGGCTGTTCGAGGACACCAACCTGTGCGCCATCCACGCCAAGCGCGTCACCATCATGCCCAAGGACATCCAGCTGGCGCGCCGCATCCGCGGGGAGCGCGCTTAAGGTGCCTTTCCGAGTAACAGCAAAAACCCAAAGGCTCTTTTCAGAGCCAACTACTTTTTCCGTGAAAGACTGCTGAACTGTTAAATATTAACCCACTCCCATTCTTCGTGCTCCCTTTGCCGCTATGTGGTGCAAATTCCTTTGTAAGATTAGCTGGGTGGGTTTCACTTTCTTTCTGGAGGACTTTTTCGCTACGGCTGCCTTGGCCTAGGGGTGTGGGCTTTGTATGAACTTTTACCCGCCTTTGGTTTCGCTGCTTTCCCCTTTTTCGGCTTGTCCCCGTCGCCGCCTCAGGCTTCCTTGCCTCCTTCGGGGTCTTTTTGGATACTTATTTGGGTCTTTGGGTTCTAGCAGCCTTCTTGGGCTTGGCCGCGCCGCCCGCCTTCTTGGCCTTGGGCTTGGCGTCCCCGGAGGCCGCCTTCTTGTTGAGCTTGAAGGAGCCCGAGGCGCCGGTGCCCTTGGTCTGCACCAGGGTGCCCTTGCTCACCAGGCTCTTGAGGCCGAGCCTGATGCGGCTGTTGTTCTCCACGTCGTAGCCCGCGGCCACCAGCGCCGTTGTGCTCTCCCTGCCACCAGCGGGTTTGCGGGCTTTTTTCTTTATTGGCGTTTTTCCCGTGGGAGGAGCAGGAGGCGTGACAGGCGCGGTTTCAGACATAAGAATTTGGACACCTAACTGCAAAAATAAAATTAAACAGTCTCGGAGAAAATCTGCCAGGCCCAGCTGTGTCTATTTATAGACACACATCGACGCTGTGAGCTGAGCCCCCTGCTCAGTTCTCCTGTTTGTCTGCAATTTAGTCAGTTTTGTCCTGGAGTTGTGTTTGTCATATCTTCTAGGAAAGCCATAAAACTAAATTTTCCTGTGGAAGAATCACATCAGTTGTATTCTACGAGCCAGGACTACTTAGGATCTGAGATCTTCATGGTTTCTCCGGTTTTTATCCCATCAGGCAGCATATTACAAAAGTCCCATACACAGAGATTCATGGGTCAGAGAGACTACTTGAGTTTGGTTTAAAATATAAATTATACGGTTTGTGCCTTCAACAGCTTGCTCTCTAGTAATATACTATAGATTCTTGGCTTTTCATATGTTTAACGATTATTTGATTCTCCCTGAGATTTATCCAAAAATTTATTTTATATGAAGAGAAATAACACGCTCTTTTCTAGACTTATCTCCAGGACAGTTAAAGATGCTTGAAAGAACATCTATTTCTGATTCTAGAAAAATCATTATTTTGTCTGGAAAAAAACTACCATAGGTTTTTTTTTTTTTTTTTTTTGTGACTGTTGGAGAGTTATTTTTTTTGTATTTCAAGCATTCAAAATTGGCGAGAAGAATGAGAAATGCAGTGATCAAGTATCCTCTTGACATTATAGGTGGGCCTGTGTTGCAACTACTGTTGGCAGAGGAGATCAAGCCAAAGATATAAGACAGCATTGGATCTCTATATGGGCATAAGGAAATTATTTTATTTACATTGATTTTATGGGGGAGGGTCAGTTATTAAAATCTTCACAAGCTGATGGATTACAGAGGCCTGTCATGCTCAGTTAAGTAGAACTTCGCCAAAATATTCAGGTAACAGAACCAAAGAATATACAAAAGCAACACACAAAATATAGGATTTCCTTAAAAGGGAATATACAAAGCAAGCATGTTTTTTATTCACTACATTTCTTATTTAAGCAAGGACATTTTTTATAGGGAACACTATAACCTATGATTAATATTGAGTAGGTAATAGATTGCTGGTAGAAGATGACAATTTGATTTTATTATGTGCTCTATTATAGGTTTGTCTTTAAAATAGTATATTTATTTTGAAGCATGTGCAAGTCTGTGTTTCACTAGGATTATGAAAATGAGACATGCTGGGGATAGAGGAAAGTCCAAGAAGTGAGGGTTTCATCACAATCAACACATGACTACTTCATGTAGCACATGGCCGGAGGCCACCTCCGCCAAACTGGGTGTCAGGGGTTCAGAAGGATGGGATGGCGTCGGCAACATGGGGGTTGAGGGAAACTAGGAGACACAGACTCAGTCTGGTGCAAGTATCTCCAGAGCTGAGAGTCTCAGCGGGTCTTTATTTATATATTAAAGCAAGCAGTGACATTATATCAACATATACATAGAAACAAAGCAGGGACAATCGGTACATTCCTTTCCCATGGACATCTGGCTTCTACGTGCTCTCAGAAAAAAGGTGAGCTTTCAGGTTATTAGATAAAAGAAACCTTAACCTTATACTAAAACTCATTATTTCAGCTTCATCAATCACCTAAGAGTTGATAATCATCATTGCATTCCTATCCTCTAAAGTCAAAACATCAAAAGACTCTACTGTCTATATGGTCTCCAGCTGAAGACCAGCTGCTTTCCTGTTTTCTGGTTATCAATTAACAGGACCTTTCTGCCTAAAGACTTTTAACACAATCAACTTCATGAATCATTAAAAGGGCTTCTTTAAGAAACTCTTAGAAAAGGTAAAAGAAAAATTTATGGCTCCCCTGGGCCACTTACCAGTCATGTTCATGTTCAACAAATTATTTCCCATGTTAGGCCAATTTAGTGTTTAATTTTTAAAGTTAATTCTTCGTGCCTATTACTTACAGTATTCGTATAACTTAATGCCCAATGTACTTATCCAAGAAGTTTTGCTTTTTATAACCAAGAACAAAAAAATAAATAAAAGGGATGTTTGCAGATTAATCTTGGGCCCCAAGGTGTGGGGAACAATGGATCTTCAGCCACCCGGTGTGAGGCTCTTTATATATCTTCAGCCCCAGGGTTTGAGTCTCTTTCATTTTCCAGCAATTTATCTGGCTGGGCTATCAAGGCCCCCTGCAGCACATTCAACTAAAACATGAAAATATTAAGTTAATAAAAATTAAAAACATGATTTTGAGCTGAGAAAATAGATCAATGTAAATCATTTCTTCATTGTATAGTCACTTGTTATAGAGCTTATATATTCCTAATATGAAAATGGTTTTGACTCAATTAGTTTTTTTCAGGATTAATAAAAGCATTAATAAAAGAAGTGCTTTCTCTTTATCTTCTAATTGTAGCTCATGATCTTGGTGCTGCCCCTTTCACCCTCCTGAGTTTGTGAGTTCTACCTTTAGGTCGATAACTCTGAAGTCTCTGTTTCAGGTATGTCCGCTTGTCTAGATCAAACTTGCATTTCTAGATTTTTTTCTGGACATCTATTTTTACATTTACTTATATACCAGACTCTCAACATGAGAGTCTCATCCATGTTTGGAGAATTCTTCCTCAATTCATCTCTCTTCTTGTATTTTTCCCATCATGGTTATAATCCTGGCTCTTCTATTTCTTATCTGGATTATTTATTCTTATAGTCTTTTTATGACTCTTACTTTTTTTAAAAAAAGATTTATTTATGCATAGAAGAGCTGGGGTATAGGCCAGAGATGTGGGGTGGGGGGACAGGGAGTGGTGAGAGGATTCACCCGAGACAAAGTGGGGAACAGAACATGCAGGCTGACTGAAACACACAGCGAGCAATACAGGAGAGGTCTGCTGCAACATGTGGGTGTCTCTCTGGCTGGCCAGGGATCGAACTCGTGCTGCAGAGGCTGCGGATTTCTTCATAGTGCGGTGCTTAACCCCTTGTGCCACCAGGGAGGCCCTATGTCTCCTTTATAATTCATTTTATTGATTGTTCTTAATGGATCATTCTTCCAAGTCATCTTCAGATGTAGATAGTCCATCTTCCTGTAGCTTTCTCACTTCAGAACACCACCACTATCTACACAAAGAAACTTTAAAAGTTTTGAAGTTGTGAAAAAAAAATGAGCACATAAAAATATATGCATTCAGTCTTTTATCTTTTGTTAAATCACTATTCTGGCTCGGTGGCTTAATAGAACAAGCAAACACACTGACTTGCATTTGAGTCTGGTTTTGCTATTTGCTGATGAGAAAATATATTATTGAGCAAATGAATATAATAGATTCCAGCAGAACTTCCAGCCCAGGTGCAATGAACATTCCAATGCAGGTGATGGAGGACCAGAATAGCAAGACTGGAAAGGAGGCCTCACAAGACTAAAGCCTGACTCACACAAGGAGGTGGGGGTGGAGAGGAATAACTTGACTATTAACCCAGCTGTAGAGGTCGGACCCTTAGGCACCAGTGCCTTATCACAAGGCCTGAGACCCAAGCAGGATCAATGCTATAAGGAGTGGAGCTCAGACCTAGAAGTGAGGACAACAATTTTAAAGATAAGTAGGAAAAAACCTAGGATTGTTTTAAGTTTCTGTTTGTCCCAAACCAGGCAGGGAACCAGTTTCCTTAAGAAAAAAGAACACCTTATTTACAGACCATGAGGACAAGAGAGGCAACAGATCTCTTATCTTGTCTTTCACCCAATGAAACATCTTACATAGCCTGTTAGTAAGACCAGAGTCTCAAAATTGCCTGAAAGAGTGGGGGCAGCCCCAGAGAGAGTGGGTGCAATTGTTAGGGGGAAAGGATGTCCTGAGCTAATTCCATGCAGGCTTTGTGGACTCCACCCCCACTCCAGACCAAAGCCATCAGGACATTGGGAAAGACAAGTCCCGTCACCACCAAAGGGAAGGTGGCTGGGACCTGAGGGTGGAGTTAAGCAGCCAGGTTGGGTATAAAAACCAAACACGTGGGCCTTAGGGTCGCTCGCTCTCTCGCTTGCCTCCTGGCTTCACGGCTCCTGGCTCTCGGCCAGCTCTCAGAGTGCCATTTGGGATTCCAGATCAGCAGATCAGGTAGGATGCATTTAAGACTTTATCTCCCACTTTTCTCCTTGAGTTGTACATTTCCTCCTTTGCCCTTCCCTTGTAAATAAACCTTTTATTAACCTTTCATGTGTGCCTGCAGTGGAGTATTGATAAGTCCTTTTAAGCGCTTGGATGAGGACCCACAGTCAGCAACCCGTTTTGTATCAGGGCTGCCCTGTAACACAACCATGGGCGTACCCCCAGGGATAGTGTGAGGGCAGCCACGGGTATACCCCCAGAGATTCTGGTCAGGGAGTGAATGATGGAGGATAAAGGTGCCTGGAATTCAGAGTTAATTGGAGGCTCAGGATTTGTGGATGGATGAGGTCTGGCAAGTAAAGGATCATCTAGGATATCTATACAATTTTCCCTTTTCGGGCCTAAGGAGTCAGGTTTGGCCAGACATATCTGACAAGCTTTGTTTAAATTTGAGTCCTGTTGTAGAGCCATGAAGGCCAACACATATGGGACCTCAATCCATTTATCATTGTTTCTACAAAACAAATCTAATTGTAGAAGGGTGGTATAGTTCAAGGTTCCATTAATCGGCCATGTCTCTTGGC